GGCTCGTTTTCAAAGTTTCCTATTTTTTATATGTTTTTCTCAGTCGAAATGTGATCAATATTATCTTAAAACTGACTAACTTTTTTCTTACGTTATTCGTTTTGAGCTCTTATGATAATTCAGTAACGCGAAATAAGAAGAGACAGTCTCGGATAATAAACGTAACATTCCACGTCGCGGAATTGAACGGTTGCAATGGATTGGCGTTCAAAATGAATGCGGATACGCTCATAGATAACGCAACAGCAATTTTGCGCTAACAGACAGCATGAAATTGATTATACAGTCGCATTTAACATGGTCCAGTAGTTACTCGGGACTTATTGTTGATGTTGACTACTGCCGTTACTTGGCGCCTAGCCACTTATTACCACTTTGTGTGCTGCCATCGGAGAGAAAGATAATCGCCCACTTGTAAGTACTTAAGTATGTATTTCTATGCATCGCGCGTCACACACACATGCATAATCGATAAATCTTTCGTCCATTAATAATCGATCATCGTCAATCATCCATTTCAAGAAATATCTCAATTTCCTTCCTTTCTTTTTTTCTTCGTGAAATATCTTAGAAAAAGACGGATTATTTTAAGTAGATTTAAATATTTTGGATCGAGAAATAATAGAAATAGAAATATCTGTACTTCATCAACCACTTTTCAACTAATCGTCATATTAAATATATCCTGATCGCGTGGAGACAACTGACTCGTGAAAGCACCAATGAATGTCGCCGGCCATCGACGATGAAAATCGAAAGTGTGACACGGTCAGCTACATACACATCACATTCCAACAGCGTTCGCACGACCCAAAAATGAGCATCGTTTGATTCAATTCCATTGCGAATATTGGTTTCGTAAAATATTAACGTAAATCGCATTATTTATTTGTAAAATCTTGTTTCGCAAGATCCGACAAATGCATGAAAATATAGAATTACGATTTATAAATCTATTTTTATATGAATATACAACTTGAACAAGTTAATAGTTTTAAATAAATTTCGTACTTTTATTTATTATTCGCGTTATTAAAAAAATAATTTTTAAATTTTAACAACTGAATTATTTTATTCAATATCGATTTTAAAAAATAGAATTCAATTTTCATCGAAATATAAAATATTTCGAACAAAGAGCCACTATCAAAGAAGAAATTTATTAAATTAATCATCGTAACAATTGTAACATTTTTCTCGATCAACTCAATTCCCCTAAAGAGAGCCCTGTCAGAAAGAGGAAGAAATACGTACACGTGTATAAAGTTGGAAGGCAGAGAGCGGCGATAGAGGAGGGGCCCAGTTTTAATAGCCGAGGACCTCTCTCGCACGGCTGCAGAAAAATCCTTACAGCCGATATTCCTTCGAGATAAGCACGTAGTCCGGTAGCCCGGTTTTACCGGGCCAGTATTTATTGGTTATTGGTGTGGACCGTCATTAGCGAAACGGGGGTCCCACCGCTCCGAGCAGATACGAAGATATCGCACGAGGCGGCACGCTCTGTCTCTTTCCCTCTCACCAAAGGGCCCACCTCTCTCGAGAGAACCCTTCGATCCGTAATTTCCACCGGCCAACTCCCCGCTGTTCACCGATCGAACGCGTTGCACGCTGTTGACAAATTCCTGCGGTTCTGAACCGTCTGAAAGGAACACGACTTCCCACTACGGAATCGTTCAAATTCGTACGGAGGGAAAAGAATGAAGCGAATTGTCAGCATCTCGATCATATATAAAGTTTGTTGAATTGAGGTTGGGTAGTTCACGAGGAATGATGATTTGTGAAATATTGTTTAAAAGTTTTTGATATTTATAATTGTGAATTTTTTTCTCTTTCCTATAATTCACTTGATGACAAGAAAGAAAAGTTTGTGTAATTTTAAATAATTTAAGAAAATTTTATTTTATTTTCTTTCTTCAAACGGTAGAGTGACTCTATGATAATCATCATTATATAAGATTCATCATTCATATGTACATCTACATCGTCTAAGATTCTTCGATTGCTTGTAACTTAATGAACAAGCCTGGATCGATATTTTTGCATACCAATTTTTGTATTTGTTTTGGCCTCCAGAAACCCTTCTGCACCACGAATGTATTAACACTCTGTATACGGGGAGGAGATCGGTGGTTGGCGAGGAGGAAAAAAGCAAAGCAGCCACACCGTAGCGACGACGAGTTGCCGGTGTATATTGCGAAGCTACCCGTCTTGAGGAGGACTGCCGTTGTACGCTCGTTTAGCGCTATCCTCAGGGCAAAACCACCAGGGCCGCCATCGTGCACCCGCGGATGGAAATGCTAATTTGACCGAAGAGAGGCCCCTATACGCGCCCTTCCCCTTTCGCCGCGAGCGTGCTCGCTTCTTTTGCTCTTAAATTGTCTTTTTCTTCGATTCCTTATGGCGAGACGTACCGTTCGAAGCTCTCGACCCAGTCATACAGCGTATATACGTGTGTATCCGCACACAGCTGGTTGCGTAATATAAATTCAGAAATTATTATGATATTCCAAGGTTTCGTCTTGTGGGGAAGGGATTATTACTCTCCTTTTGGTGAAACCGATATATATATATATATATATATATTTTTTATGTGTATTTTCTCTCTCTCTTTCTCTCTTTTTTTTTCTTGCAGAGAACAATCGTACGAATTGCTGAAAATTATTTAAGGGGCCTGTACAAACACCGCGGGCCTCCCGCTTGGGGATTCGTTATTTCGTAAATATCACGGTATGTAAAATGGAAATTAAATGTTCTTGT